ATGGCTTTCGAGAGCCCAATGCAACCCGAATATATTATTCTCTTGCCTGGCTCGCATGTGGCCGGCGTTTACACAAACCGCTTCCCACTCCAGAAGAATGGCAGAAGCAGCTGGATAATTCGCTCTACTGCCACCGCTGTGCACGTGGCACGATATCTGACAGAGGAACACAAAAGACAGACCAGTTCAGAGGGCTACAAACTGTATTCCGGGCCATGACATGTCGTTAGAAAAGGTCGTAGGCCATCTTCAGTGCATCTTATTTTGGAAGGTGCTGGCTTTGGTCACGATTATGGAGCAACTTTCACCAATTTACTCAGCCTGGAATAGAAAGGGAAACAAAAGGATGGCCTTATAAGAGTCTGTAAAAGCAAGCTTAGTTGAATAAGACGAGCTGACAGAACACAACGACTGAGAATACTGCAGCTCCCCATCATCTTAGGAAACAATGGCAAAAGATGACTAGTTACCCTCTTCCTCAAACACACCAGTGCCATTTCAAACACAGAACATCCCAACGGAGAACCAGTTAACAACTTTAAAACTCCATATGCGCATGAATGTCAACGCCAGAAGATTCTGGAAGAAAAAAGTAGGCGAGCTAAGATCTCTGCGAACATACATTGGCTTCAAGAGAGAATCAACGCAAGAAACTTGAGTCTACCCAGATGTTTTTGACTGAGAGATTTATCTGACCGGAATGACTTCATTTGGTGGACCCAGTTTGTAAAAGAAGGAGGTGATACAACCGTAAACATAAACCCACGCCTCAACTCTAGGAAAGTGCTGCATGCTTAACTAACCTGATTTATAAAACACCTAAATCTCAGTTCTTCTCTTAAATGCAAAAGGTAAGCTGGGGACATCGCAAGATTAGTAACAGAGAGCTAAACATTACGACGCGACCTTATTCTGCTGGATGACACTCGTCTTTGGAAACGTGCTAGTCCATCCCTCATTACTTCAAAGTGATCAGGCGGTGACGGTGTTTCACTGATAACTAACGACAAATTTCCAGTTGGTGACTAGGATGCCTTCCCTTGCTCAATCATGGTCTACTTGAAGGAATGAATGAAATCGTGCAGAAAGCGTAACATCCTGAGACCAGGTATCTTTCACCGCAGAACATCGCTGGCGTTTGATCAAAGGCCTAATATGGGGGACCACGTTCACAAGTGTACGTCAACTAACAAACCTTGACAAAGAATTCAAAGGCTAATTATGCAAATGGCTGGCTATTACTGGATAGAAAATGGGCCCGTTTTAAGCAATGACTGCCACAAATGTGGGATTCCCCTCCTGAAAAAAGGATCTATGGAACAGCGGAGTCTTAAGAGACATGTACCGGCCACAAAGTTCCGTCTCAAGGATAATGCCTGATAACCTCAGGAACCCAAGATTCTTCACATCGTAAGACCGACGTGTAATTGTGAGCAATAATCTCATCGGGAGTCCAAAGGAGGAAGCTTTAATTGGCGAATCGGTGGCTGAGCTGATAAGCTTGTGATTTGTTTGCACAGCCAGCACAAACAAGGGGCATTTGCAGTCCTCTCTAACTACAAGTGTTCTGCTGTTTGACGACCGCAACGAAAAACCGCACAGCATTAGAAGCTCACTTGATAAAGCCTTCAAAAGACTTTATAAACGCGAACCAGTTGTGATGACATAGGACTAGTAATAATAAGAACCTGCCTCGACGTGCCAGGCCTGCACATTTTCCACTAGTTCTCAAATTTAGTAGAGGAGGGCACAATCTCGAAGTCGTGGAAACGACCTTGCTTGTGGGCGGTATGTATGGGGGGCAACAGGAAAGACTCGACCAGAACAGACATATAGCCCTAGTGCAAACATTCTTCAAGACAATGGAAAGCCTGATAGTCAGTGATTTTTGATATCTCCATGACAGAAGTAAGTCTCCACCCCAACCAACATGGTTTCGGAAATTTGTGGCCGTCCGTCATCAATTTACTGACTGCTTACGTTGACTGGATGGCTAGTCAGAACACTACCGGGCAATTCATATCGTCTTTCTTTCATCAGCTAAAGCGGTAAAGCGTCTCTCACAGCACCTCGTGATCAAAAAGCTTGAAGGCTGGAATCAGTAGACCGATAACCTGTCGGTCCTGCACGTAGACGTAGAATAGGAAAATACACCACGTAAAAACGAATCGTGTAAGTGGAAACAGGTACGCCTTAAACGGTCTGATTATCCCGCAGACGAATGTGGAGAAGGATTTGGGCCTAAGTTTTGCAGTCACAGCAGATACTATGCAGAAATGATTACAAAGCAAATTCTGTCCAGCGGTCTTTTTGAAGGTACCTAGACTTTTCCCCACACCAAACTCTTCGTTCTGAGCTTCAAAGCATTCTTCAGACAACATCTTAAACCTCTTAACACACTTGACACTGTACTGCTGAGGCGAAACTTAAAGCCAGTAGAGGAACTGTAGTGTAGGGCAACAAATTGTCATAAGGTTCGAAAAAGATTCACGATTACAGTATCTTAGGCAACTTGGACTGTTCATCAGCAACAATGCCAAGAAACGAGGCCATGAACCGCACTTTACAAGAATGATCGTCAGGCGAAGCATCCTGAAGAAAAATTAATACCAACCCAGAATACACGGCCACGTGGGATCCCGGGGACGTTTGCGCGTCAGAAGGCCAACATGCTTGTCACAACCAACTTATTTTCGCCAAAAGTCTGCGCTTTCTGAAACTCCTCGCCACAGAACGCAGTGGTGACAAACACCGCAGTTGAGTACCTCCGATGAATGTCAGGTGAACCCGATGTCATACATGGATCACCGCCAACATGCATGGATAGTGTTTGGTCTTCTTAACACCAATATTCTGGCTTAAAGCATTAAGCCAGAATATTGGTGTATTGCCTTGTTTTTATTCTTGGCTTTGTACTGATACTCGTTGCTGCCATACGTAAATGTACTCATCCATACCCTCCATACTGTACACAATTGGCTTCTCCTACCCTCGTACTCCCCTCTCAGTCGATGCTAAATTCGAATAGCCTCTAGGGGCCACATAGACAGTGAATAGGATGAGACCATCTATCGTCTTCGCAACTTAGGAGCTTTATAACTCATCCAGTCTGCTTAGTACAAAAGGAATTGGAATATAGCAGTATTGTGGAATGCAGTTTCATTTAATTCGATCGGCTAAATGCAAATGCAGTGGAATACGATACGGCAAATAATGCTGTTTCACTGCGTGATGCGTCCAGGCTCATCGCAGAAAATACCATATTCTCTTTGCGACATGTGCTTCTCTGACAAAACTGAGGAGAAAGATCTACATTCAGTATTTACAAGCGCTAATTCAGCTTATTGAAAGACTTATTAAAGGCCCACGTGGAACCACACTTAGTACGGCGATAAACAAGCGCCATCACCTTGAGGCTTTTCCTGAAGTTTTGCAAGCACCGATAACGACCTCACCTAAATTTTCGGGATGCCTTTGCACCACAGCACCTGAACAGTGGCGTGAGCCTCTTGGAGTAAGCCTTAGAACGAACCAGATAGAATTTTTCAAGAGTTTGACGAAAATAGACTGAAGGATCTAGGTCTTGATGGCATTAACCAACGTAGAAAATATGGTAGCTTGTTGACATCCTAGAAGATACCACGTCATCAGAATCACCCACCGAGTGCGTAATCACTCGACCTTCACCATAGTGATCTCCGTGGGAACCCAAAGGGACCCACTCAGCAAAGTGGCGAAACCAGTATGTGATCGTGATTGCTTAATCTTTCAGTGCCTTTTCTTGAAACACCGAGGCAACGAACGCTCAAAATTCCAACTCACTGGCTAGAGGGTCGACTACAAGTACTGCAACGTAACACGACAGTGGCCAAATGGCGTGGATGTTTAGGATGTGTCCTGGTGCGAACTTGACAGACGCAAGGACCAATCACTAATTATTCGAACTTGTTATATACCCACGAATACGAGACCAAGGAAGAACACGATAGCATAGTCGGATGGAATAGTATATTTGGATGGTTATGCCGAAATACCGATGTGTTCCAACTAACTGGCTAGAGAGTGGAATACGAGCAATGCAACGTAACACGACAGCGTGCCAAATGGCGAGGATGCTTGGCCGGGTGCCTTCAGCTTAGCGAGTCCAGTTAAACTATCAAGGTCAGCATCAATGTCGAAAGTCGTCAAACCCTAGGCTATTGCTTTTGGGGAAGTGTATGACGCTACAGATGCATGACCGTATGCCTTCAGCTTAGCGTGTCCAGTAAAAACTATGAAGGTCAGCATTGGTGTTGAATCTCGTTTACTCCGGAGGAATGTGTAAAGCTACAAACCCATCAGCATCGCTGTAACAACAAACATCGTGCATACCCCACAGATTTACCCATTGACTCACCACCCGCCAGATTGGCCACAGCTTGCACAAACGAGTGACTGAATCTACTGTAGCAAGGAAAGCAAAAACCTGAAATTGCGGCACAAGGCCTAATAGTCAACGAGAGAAGAAATTTACATCTTCATGTGTACGGGTAAAATAGATGAGGTATTCTTCAAACCAAGGGTAAAAAACCTTTTTGCTAACGGAAAATATAAATCTGAACATAAAAATTCTGCCTATATATCTGATCACCAGAGTTCAGAAACTCTCATGTCCATGTCTTTGGCCGAAAGATATTGAATATTGGAAACATGCAGATGATATGTGTAATGTGCCATCTTTCATTGGATGCATGGAAGATTTTCGCTGAAGGAAAACTGATCATGAAAAAGTTAGTCGGTCCATTTCAGTGAAGGGAGCGTGGCATTTGCTGCTTTAGAGAATAAGAGGAAAGTAATTGATATTCACGGAAACCTGAAACACTTTCCCAGGATTAAGAAGATAGCTTAAAGTAAACACTAGGCTTATGCAACCTAGTAAACCGAAAATTCGATTGGATTCATTGGACAAAACTGTTTAGCCAATTTAATCACCATGACAACTGAATCACTAGATTTATGAAATGAGTCATCGTCGCATACTTCAAGGTTTGGTTCTTTTTCTGCGTTCCATTTGCAGATTTTGAACAATATCAAAAATCTAGGACGAAATTTGTTCAGACGGTAGCTGAACTTGCGGTTCAACCGCAAAATATTGAAGTTCTTCAAAATCTTGGAGTGTTATCCTTGTTGAGGCCTCTGTTGCTAGACACTGTGCCAAGTATTCAGCAAACTGCAGCTATTGCTTTAGGAAGACTAGCTAACCATAGGAAAGATTTAGCGGAGGTTATTGTAAAGGGGGATATCCTACCACAGCTTGTTTATTCCTTAGCACAACAAAATGTAAATTAATAATATGTTTTTATTCATAATGATAGAGATTTTACAAAAGAGCCGCAGCTTTTGTCCTGAAATCCATAGCTAAGCACTCAGCAGAGCTTTCACAGAATATTGTTGATTGCGGAGCACTAGATGCCCTTACAGTGTGCTTGGAGGAGTTTGATCCGGCTGTAAAAGAAGGGGCTGCATGTGCAATAGGATGCATTGCTAAACATTCTGCGGAACTTTCTCAAGCAGTAGTAGATGCAGGCGCTGTGCCGTTGCTAGTAATATGTGTCCAGGAGCCTGAAATAAGTCTGAAACGAGCATCTGCGTGTACTTTGGCTGAGATAGCGAAACATACTGCTGATCTTGCTCAGGCCGTTGTTGATGCTGGTGCAATAGCTCACCTAGCTCAGTTGGTACTAAACCAAGACTCTTTGCTGAAGGTTGGTTTATCAACTTATGCAAAAATTGTTTAGCGGCAAGTATTCGCAGCCTTATCTACGATTGCGAAACATTCTGTGGACCTAGCGGAACTTGTTGTTGAGGCTGAAATATTTCCAGCTGTATTAGTATGCCTAAAAGATACAGATGATATCGTCAGGAAGAACTGTGGGAACCTTGTCAAAGAAATAGTCAAACACACCCCAGAACTCAGCCAGTTAATTGTGAATTCAGGAGGAGTTGCGGCCATGGTTGACCAAATTGGTGATTCTAAGGGTTTCACCTGTCTGCCAGCAATTATGGCCTTAGGATACATAGCAGCTCACTCCGAAACTCTGGCAATGAGTGTAATAGTTTCAAACGTATGTTATATTGTTGAATTACATTTTTCCAGGGTGTTCTGCAGCTGAAGTGCGTGCTACTAAGGGAACCAACTGAAGAGATGCAAGCTGCGGCTGCTTGGGCTCTTGGTCAAATCGGTCGTCATACACCAGAACACGCAAAAGCCATAGCTCAGGTTGATGTACTTCAAATTTTGTTGGACTGTTATCTGAAGCCGAATGCTACTGAAGATTTGAAGACAAAGGTAACTTAATTGTCTGAGTTTATGTGTTTTTTTCAGACCAAAAATGCACTGAAGCTTATAATTCAGAAGTGCGTCAATTTGGAAGCACTAGAACCTCTCTTGCAGAAAGCACCTCCAAGTATATTGAAACATGCCGTTGCACAGTTCAGCAAGGTTTTACCACATGATAGCAGGGCGCGCCGATGTTTTGTGGCATCTGGAGGTCTTAAGAAAATACAAGAGCTCAAAGATGATAATGAGGGCTTATTATCAGAATATATTAATGCAATAAATAACTGTTATCCAGAGGAAGTTGTGCGCTACTACTCTCCAGGCTATGCAGAAACATTGATGGAACGTGTGGAGGCATATCAAATACCAATCTGAAAATCACATACACTATTCACAATAACTTTTTTCTCTTGTAATTTAGATGACAAAAATTGAAAAGCATCAGTCATTACTGAGTTATTATTCTCTATAATCATGAGTTATAGAAAAATTGTCAATAAAAGTAACTGAATAAATGATATTTTATTATTTGACTCACATTCAATTGCATAGAGTAATTTTATTCACTTTTACATGAGTTTAAGCAACACTTACAAGGAATAGTCATATGCAAGTACTGATGAAACTGTAGGTGGAAGACCAACAGAAGAAACAGCTTGTGTGGCGCCTTTAAACTGACTCGTAACACTTACGTAAGTCAACTTAGAGCTCTAATGACAGGCAAACGAACGTAGAGCCCTAAGCAAAGTACACTAATTTCAGTTGCCAATCAAAAGCTGCATTGAAGAAACTGGAGGAAGTATATAAGGCACACATAAATAGTTGGTAAAATTGTTCGAAGTTCCGTAGATGACAAACGGTATTCACAAACGTGCCAGTGAGCGACTTCCAACCATATCAATGAATCACCAACTATTGACTCTTATTATGAATAGGACGCCGGGTAGCTGATACTTTTACGCAGGTTGGATGAACAGTCAGAGACTTTACGGATTGGAATGATCTCTGGAACTAACCACTGTTAGTCTTCTTTCAACCGAACGATTAAGACTAGAAACCAGAAAACTAATAATTCACACTCACTCTCTAGTACATCTCCAAGTAAACAGATCGTAGTAAGAGGCGTCACCTAACCACTGAAGTTAATCAAGATACGTGATCATTTGGCATTCTGAAGAAAACTAAATCAGGAGTTAGAAGTGATGTTGTGGCTATCCGATTGTACACTAAGGATGATTTTAAGAAGGCTACCACGTTTTTATCTACAGGTGGACCAGATATGATCTATAGAATGCACAATCATTATCGAACTTGACTATCTGTTTTCTGCAGCCAGCATTCAAGTTATGAGTAGGAACCGCGAAACAGGTGTATGATTAAATTACTATGGATATGAAAATGACACATCCTCATAAAGAAGCTTACGTTAGACAGGTATGAAACCATATGAGCCAAAGGACAAATTTTGATAAAAGTGACATACTGAGGTTCATGATGCATACAGGTAATATAGTGCAAGTGAATGTGTGGCATAAAATGCAGAAAAATACAACTCCTGTTTGGATCTAACCCATTTCAATCCTCCCATTAACCCCACTGAATTATAGAATATGTATCGAGTTGCAACATAGGAAATAAATCAGTAAGACCGAATAATTTTAACTTCGCAAAGTCAACTTTCATTTCCGTAACATCGAAAAATTAGGCTATTCTTATAACTGGTTCGTTTTCTGAATTTACTGAGAAATCAGACAGACAAATGAATGCCGAACCTCGCACAGAAGTGCTAAGTTTTTATTTGCCACAGTTAACAGCAGCATGCATAAAACAAGTGACTATAAAAAGAATATTACAGTAGAAAGTGCATAAGAGGGGGTGAATGCTTAAAAAATGAAGGCTATTGAGAATCCTCAAACTTTCGACGTCAGAGTGGGTACATTTGACCGATTTTCAACTATATCAATAACCGCTGGTTTCAATTACATCTCGGAAATTGAAAAAGAAGTTCTGAGTGTAGGAGTTTTTGATCGAGAATTCTAATGTTTGTGAGTACCTAGTCCCTGGGTATCTTTAATTTCTGCAGATGTGATATTGTTACATTACATACCTTCGCGTGCAACGAAAGTCTGCTATACATTGGAATTATACACGAAAACAGAATATTTATCTGAATCGAAGCGAAATAAGCAGAAAATACTTATAGGATATTTTTGTGGTGTATTTCCTAGTAAGCAGCAATATGCATGCGCACAAAACAATTCCTAGACATGTTCCCTTATCTAGAGAAAATCGAGAACCTTCACGTAGAATCGTTAATTAAACTCTTAACGAAAATCTGACCTTTCTTGCGAGATCTGACACAGCTTACTGTGGTAAAGTATTATCTGTCTGATGACGTTCTCAGCATAAATTATTGCTCATAATTATATCAAGAAAATCATACAACTTTCCAAATTTGGTTTTCATAGCCAGTGCACCTGATATCTTTTGTTTTAAATGGTAGTAAAATTCTTCACATCTCTGGTATAGGTGCTGCATCATCTCTATTAAACGTAATGGGTGTTGATTCGACCAACAAAGATCCGGTTGCTGATCTGTCTTCCCATGTAAATATATTGAACTTAAGTAAAATTGTTTCATCTCATCCTATTGCATGGTTGCCTGTTAAAGCATGTATTAAAATAGCCAATTTTTTGTCAGATAATTGATTCCTATGCTTCAATAACCTAAGTGACCCCGATTGGATGATTTGATCTATGTATTTGACTTCACAGTCATTCCTACCTTATTTCCATATTGCTAATCGCTGAGAATATTGCATACTGTAGATTGGCATAACAAAGCTCTCATATGTCCGTATTTAACGTAGCAATTCGACATTTGGTGGAATAAAAACTTAATAGTAATGGTGGTTTTTATCGGAAATAATTCACTAGGCGCATTTGGTATTAATGTACTACGAATAACCTACTTCGAATGTCAAAAAGTTAATTGTATGATGAGATATACAATAGTTTCTTCTGTTTACTAACCTCAATTTACATCCAGATTTGCTATTAAATATCATTATCACATTTTTTATTACACCTTAATTGTATATTGGATTTAATTTACCAGCATTTATAAATTATTGAAAGTGATTCATACTTGGATACTTTAGATTAGACGGTGTTGCAAAAATACCCAAAGGACTACGTTTGATTGATATCAGTCGGATTTACACATCAACTAGACCACACAGAAATAAACAAAGTATTCCAACAAACGCATTCATGTTGCATACAAGAAGAATATATTTCAGTTGGAATTTGAAGCATTAAAAACGAGCGAGGATATTATTAAACGCATGTGAAATAGTAGAAAACTGATCACAGTTTATTCTTCTTCACACTAACACAATGGAAATCATGAGAAAACTCAGAAAGTGAAAAAATGCATTTTGCTATTTATTGAGTAAATAGACTCACCAAGTATTTCAGTAACTAGAATGACTAATGTCATCATAATTAAAGTTTATTTACAAAAGAAGAGATTTACAAAACTAGGGGCGTAGGGATTCACCACATAACAGCCAGAAACTAATTATCGTCGACTGAAAATAACAGAAGTATTATACCACTGTGAAGTAATCGGCAAATTATTATTACACTAGAAAAAAAAATTATAAAAATAAATACGAATGTGTTTCTAATCCAAAAAAAGAAGAAAACAACGGAAGAGGAAATCATGGATGAGATATACAAACAGAGTTCTGTACGCTATTCCATAAATTGTCTATCACAGAGGGATCTGAGAGCACTAACTGAATTGGAATATTCATTGTGAATTTTTCTGTTTTTACATCATTTGGAAAAGTCCATACAGTACCATAAGGCTTTTTTATACATGATTTACCGTTAAGATGATCCGACACATCCATTTTACTACTCTCAGAAATCAAATCAAACTCCAAGTGTAAACGCCAACGATAATCTAAAGAAATGAAAGGACTAGATAAACTAACAGAATGAAATTGTGGTGTAATGTTAGTTGGTATAGGAATAGTAAAAGGTAACATTAGTTTAGACATACAGCATAACTTAATATCTGCTTCAGTTGTATAACGAGTAGTGCCTGAAATGAGACAAAACAACACACAGTGTTACATGATGACTAGAAAAGTTTCCAATGGTAAGAATACCAAGACGATTATTCACAATAATAAAAACATACAGTATCTAGTATCTCAACATCAGATGTATTAGTTATTGAAGAAATTTGTCTGCAACATAAATACAGAGAATACCAGATTATGAGTATAAGCACTTGACTGTGAAACTATGACTTCTATGGTTCGGAGTCAGTTTATTGACTTCAGTTTAGGAACTAGTATGTCCATCGAAACAGGAGTGGTTTGAAGTGAGAAAAATGAAAACATATGAAATAATTGAATCATGATATACTATTTAAATGACAAACAAACCATCCGAACAACTTAGAAACTGTACTGTATAACACTAAAATAATATTTAATTAACAGTATCACCAGACATTAGTTTGGATGTATTTTGATATCGAAGTGATTTTAAGAAACTAAAAAAGTGAAATTCATAAAATAAAATGCGATCTTGATGTAAAAATATTGAACAATATAAACAGTATATGAATTTTAGGCAATATAATACAAAGAATGGATACGCATTTTACATGTGTCTTCTGCGTATGGTTTTATTTCACAAATACGATGTGTTGTTTACTGGCAAGTCACCTTGGCAGCCTGCTTAAATTTTGGACTACCAAAACTGTTTCACTGAATATGTTTCACCAAATTACTTTTTTACTTAATTACATCATTCAAATGTCAACTAATCGTAAGACACACTTTCACTCACTCTTAAAATATCACAATAGAAGACAGCTGCCTCCTGAACGTACATCAGTGAAGAATTATAAGGAACACGTAGCTGGAAGAGAAAATTTGCATACTGGGTATACTTTTCTATCCGATCCACGAGCAACAACATACAAACTACATGATGACCTAAAAACTACTGGTTGCTGTGCGTTGTCGCCTATCTAACATACCGCCATTATTAACATTATTTAGTTGCCATGGTTTTAATAAGTTAATTTGAAAATACTGTACAAGGAGTAAATTCTTTGGAATATCACACTAAGAATCCCAAACTGCACTGAAAGTTATTGTCTGGAATAAAGTGAGTGTTATCATTATTATTATTATTGTTATTATTATTATTATTATTATTATTATTATTATTACTGTCATTATCGTTATTAATAAAACAATATACACACTGGCTTCGAATACTGAACAGCTGTTTAAATATTATAACACAATTAACTACAAACAATGTTCTTCGCGAAGTAAAGTAAGTTGTTGCACTGTTGTATCATCAACTGATACTGGGTGATGGTTGAAGTTGAAGTGAAAATTTGGGCCACGGCGGGATTCGAACTAGCAACAGCAGGGTTTCCAGACCGGTCCTGTACCAAGTGAGCTACGAGACCCAAATTTCCACCTCACCTCTAATCACCACCCAGTATTCATGCTAGTCTGTCAAACCACGGTTATCTCGGATAGTCAAAATGGTATCAACATTTGTCATACAAATATGATTTGCTTTCTGTTGGAGAAAACCGATGAGTGATCTAATATTTCAGGATAACGAGTTATTCAAGTGGAAAGTTAGTGCCTAGTAACCTTTTTACTTTAGTTATTTATCATAATTCCGGAAATAATTTTTACAACTGTATTCAGTCAATGTGAACAGTAATGTTTGATCAAGAAAAAAAACAAGTTGTCGTGCTGATAGAAAGAAGTTCATTTATTCATCTACTTCGAAGTAATAAACGAATAAAGACTCTACATAAACAAAACTTTTGGTTCCAGTGTAGGGAAATATCATCTAGGAAATGAGTAGTAATCTGGCTTTAAATTTTTGGAGTCAATAAGTGGAAAGTTCAGAAATGTGGCTTCGTATTCATTGGCACTCATCACCAAGATGTACCCGGGGTATGATATAAACTCATGTACTTTCCGAGACCCAGGTAGACATCATTAAGTTATTTAGAGCATGATCAATAAACTGTAGGATTGGATTATGTATATCAATTACATACATCTAACGTCCTAAGTATTAATCATAGCCTACCGGTCAAACGCACTATAGGGTAGCTAAGCCCTCGAGTGGAACCCAAGTGGGGAACAATAAGTCAGGCGTCCGAGGGTGACATGGCGGAGATCGCGTGAAGAAAGGAAAGCTTACAGGCAGTCGTGGAGCTAGGTTAAAAAGATTGCAGAGAATAGAGTGAAATAGTGACGTGCTATTGAAGCTCTATGTTCCACTAGGAACCCAAGGTGACAAATAATAGAGTAGCTAGACTAATTGGTGAGACACTGTGTTGTACTTCTTTTGCTGCTAAAAGCCTGTTGACGTTAGAATATAACTACCATAGTGTCGTCCCACCCCCAGATATACTTTAATCAGCACTTGGAGGGTGAAAGTTGTATTGGTTACCAGCTGCTGCCCAATTTCTGTTTACCAATTTAGATGCGAGAAAGATGCATCTATCGACAATGCATTTTCATTATCACAACAGACCATTCGAAAATAATGCACACAACAAGTTACTCACTCAGTTTATATAGCCACGTGAGACATCGGGAGGTACACAACAACCACCTACAGCGGTAAATGATAATCATAAGGTCTGTTTGTCTACCCTTGAGTAGAGGTCAGTGGCCATCAAACCAGGCTGAGCCTTCCATTAATGTGTGCTGACTAGAAACAGGCAGTTATTTCATCATATCTGTAGTGGGTAACAGCACCCTAATCGGTTCGCTCAGCTAGGACTCCGAAAGTGCCACCTAAGTTCTTCCTGTTTTTGAATCGCCACTCCTCGCTGTAGTGGCCACATCGTTCAGTAGAAAGCTAGACAGCTGTTCGCGAAACTAATCTTCTGCTCAATTGCGACAGTAAAAAACAGGTGTGTAAATAGAAATTAGAGAAAAGGAGAGAAACGATGCGAAAACTCGATGATTACTAGAAAGAATTTGAGTTCCGGCAGAGTTATGATAGCGATTAACATGCTTCATTTAGACATTATTACAAGTAACTACATTATACCTCGGTTAATTTCTGCTGAGGTAATTAACAATAAAGTGTACTGATAATGGTGGTCTTGTCTATGCGGATGTATGACTGCAGAGCCCAAGAGACATATTCTTCAGGTCGGTTATATTCGGCCTTTTTAAGAGTTAGTTTTGATTTGTTTATTCTAAGTTTGCACTTGAAGAAAACCCATCATTACCGAAACCAGAAGTTTGTGGGACAAGGAGAGAAATACTATCTTTAGAGTTCGCCTTTCCTAACTCTTTTTCCTGACAAAAGTGGGGAGGCATCTGGTTACGGTACCGGTTATCAACAGGATATACCTTGCTGATATTATATCTGCACAACCAGTAGAAGGTCTTTGCCCTCAGACGCAAACCACAGCTTGATTTACACTATCGTAACAGCTACCTTTAGTCCTACCAATACTCATACAGACTTTCTCGACAGGATCTGAAAGAACCACCTTGGCAACTTAGATTTAATACAAAGAGTGGCTAATGTATACATATTAAATTTCCATCTATCATTTGACCTCAATGCTAACCCTTTATCAAATCGACTATTTCCAACACATTTATCCTTTGAAAAAATGCATATAAATATGGATGACAAGTAAGTGTGCGATTAGGTTGCTCAAAATGTATTACGCTGATACATCATTTTTCGCACAAACTATGTCTTTTTCTAGGCCCGAGTTCGATTTCCGGTCTGGTTAACTAGTTCACTAGTTACTAGCCGGGCCTAAGCCCCCACAAAGAGGGAAGGTTGGGCATAGGGCTAGCAACCCTACACCGGAAAACAAATCTAACCACTAAAGAAACTTCAAAGCACAAACAAAATATAAAAAATGAAAACAAAATTGTTCCTCGCTGGAATCGGAGAGGCGAAATGACGCCAGTTGGTGAAAGCCTGCCTTCGGGAAGCCAATTGGCCGATGTATCTTCTCTCTCTCGATGAAAGCGAAAGTAAACGTGGGGACATGGAATGTCCGCACCATGTTTGAACTCAGCAATGTTGCCCAGGTTGCAAAAGAGATGAAGAGGTATCACATCGAAGTGCTTGGAATTTGCGAAAGCAGATGGAATGGGAGTGGACTCTCCAAACTGTCAACTGGAGAATCAATAATCTACTTCGGTCACCCAGATGCCAACCACGAGCACATTGAGTCTTGGAGTGGCCATCATGATGTCCCCTAGAGCATGGAAGGCCCTTATGCAGTGAGAACCAATCTCCTCCTCCAGGATCATGACAGCAAAGTTCAACTCAAAAGGAAGGAAGGTCACAATCGTACAATGCTACTCTACGCACCTACAAATAATGTAGATAGAGAGAAGGAGGAATCCTACAGACAACTGCAATCAACGCTGGAAAAGACTCCAGTTGGCGATATCAAAATTTTAATGGGTGACATGAATGCCAAACTGGGAGCAGACAACACAGGAAGAGAACTAACCATGGGTCGAGAAGCGCTCGGTGAGGTGATGAACGAGAATGGAGAATTGTTTGCAGAATTTTGTGCATTCAACAATTCGGTGATTGGAATCAGGCGGTGTGTTCAAGCACAAGGATATCCACAAAGTGACATGGATTTGATTTCACCAGCCACCAGGATACACTAAAAATCAGATCGACTTCATCTCAATCTCAAGAAAATAGGGATGCAGCCTACTTGACACAAGGTCAAGAAGAGGAGCAGATGTAGGTTCACACCTCTCACTATCTAGTGCAAGGAACCTTCCAAATCAAGTTAAAAGCCTTCAAGGAAGTTTGTGATAGACCACAGTTCAACTTCAACACTCGGAAACTGAAGGATGAAACTACCAGGGACATCTTCACGACAGCCATCAAGACAAAATGGGAGACATCGAGCAACATCCCTGAAGAAACCTTTGTGGAAGAACACTGGAAGTCTTTGAAAGGGATGTGGAAAGAAACCTGCATAATTGTATTAGAAGGGAAGAAGAAAGAAGATAGGATAAGGAATGGATCTTGATGGATACATGGAAGCTGACAGAGGAGGGAGAGGATGATGGTTAAACAGAAGATAAACCAGTTCAAGAATGCACAACGACAAGAGGATCTGAGTACAATGTATAAAATACTACACTGGACAAAGAAGTGAAGAAGAGTTCATGGAAAGACAAAAGACACTTCTACAACACATAGGCAAGTGAAGCAGAACAGGCTGCAGGTAAGAGAGACCTGACAACATTGTATCAAATAACCAGATTACTATCTGGAAAGAGATCAACGCAGACGAAACCAATAAAAGGTGATGAAGGAAATTTAATTACGAAAGAAGAGAAACAAAGGAAACGATGGGCCGACCAATTCAAGAAGCTCTTGAATCAACCACCACCACCTGCACTTCATCCAGAAATACCACCTGCAGCCTAGCCACAGAACTACAAGTGAACATAAATCACCCAACAAAGGTGGAAGTCCTGAGCACTATAAAGCTACTGAAATGCGGGGAAGCAGTAGGATCAGATGGGATCCCGGCAGAAGCACTGAAAACAGACGCAGAGACAACAGCGAACATGCTCACACCACACCACTATTGCAGAAGGTGTAGAAGGAAGAGAAGGTACCTGGCCATTGACTGGAAGAAGGGTTACCTTCTCAAACTGCCGAAGAAGGGAGACCTGAGTGTTTGCAAGAACTGGCGCGGAATCATGCTCCACTCCTGTCCACCCAAAGCAAGCAAAATATTAAGCCGCATCATCCTGGAGAGGCTTAAAGATGCACTGGATTCAAAACTACCATCGGAACAGGCAGGCTTCAGGAAGTACAAATCATGTGCAGACCAAATTGCAACGCTACACTACGCATCATCATAGAACAGAGCATAGAATGGCAGTCAACTCTACACCTCAACTTCATCGACTTTGAGAAGGCCTTTGACAGCGTCGACCGAGAAGTAATTTGGAAACTGCTTCAATACTACGGAATACCACATACCTTTATACGCCTCATTCAACAACTATATGAAGATGCCACATGCCAAGTAATTCACAATGGGAAGCTCAGTGATGCTTTTGAAGTGAAGTGGAGACAGGAGTGAAACAAGGTTGCCACCTACTATCACCCATGATATTCCTGATTGTGGTGGACTGGATCATGCAGCAAACAGTAGGCAGCGAGAAGAGGGGGATACACTGGACTCTGGAAAAGAACCTAGAAGATTTGGATTTCGCCGATGACTTGTGCCTGATGTCACATAAACTTGAAGATCTGCAGGCAAAAACTAACAAGTTGACAGAAGAGGCTGGGCAGCGAAGACGAGACTTCAAGTGAATATAGAGATGACAGATGTGATGAAGATACCCAACCAACACAACCACCACCAACAAACTCCAATCACCATCAACGGGAGAAGCCTAAAGAAACTAGTATCGTTCACCTACCTAGGCAGCACTATTTCAACTACAGGCGGCACAGGCACAGACGAGAATGTCAAAGCCAGCCAGGATCAGAGAAGCAAGACGGGCGTTCATTAGCCGGAAATCAGTGTGGAGATCTACTGCACTCAGCATAAAGCGTGAACAACATCCGGATTTTCAACACCAACGTCAAGTCAGTGCTCCTGTATGGTTCAAAGACTTAGCGTTACGAAAGGCATTTCCAATAAACTACAGACATTCATCAACAACTGCCTACACTGGCTCGTTACTGAAGCTCAGATGGCCAGCAAGAATAAGCAACAAGTAACTCTGGCTGGGGTCGAACCAACCAAGAACCTATCGCTGAACAAATATGCAGTGGAAGGAAGTGGAGATGGATTGGGCATACTCTGAGAAGGCCGACTGGGGACATCATGCGCCAGGCCGTCGAGTGGAACCTAGATGGGAAGCGACGAGTTGGGCGTCCGAGGAGAGGGTGACATGGAGGAGATTGTGCGAGGAGGAAATGAGAGCTTGTGGGCTGTTGTGGAGCCAGGTTCAAAAGATTTCAGAGGACAGAGCGCACTGGAGACGTGCTACTGAAGCCCTATGTTCTATTAGGAAGCCAAGGGACAAATAATAAATAATAATAAGAGCTTGTAGGATCATTGGGGTAGACAACCTTAACCACTTCATCGATGCAGCAGCTAACTGCTAAATAAACTCATAGTCCTTCAGAAGTAAATCATAGAGATCACAAATTGCTCCTTGAACCTTCAAGACGTTCACCTCGAAGGAAGTTGCTAATTCTTAAATTATCATTGGAACAGAAAGGCGTTGCACAAGATTTCTTAAATTGGAACCAGTTTTTGTGACCGACTAGCGTCAGTTGGAAAACCACAGAAAATAAGATAACACAGTAGAGTATTCAGGTGTGAGTAGCTCCAGTACTATAATTGGGAATATACGTCGCCGTAAACTAGCTTCCTAGTAGGTTGTACACTATGGAAATTTGGTTCCCAAAAAGCAATTGGTAACAGATTACGCTCCATCTGTTAGCATAAATGCTGGACTCATAACAATTTATTCATCGATTTATAGTAGCGTGAACAACCGTAAACTTTGACCAGTGAATCAAAGTAAAATAGTTTGGTACACTTACCTAAGGGGTGAAAATCTGTACAGAAAGGTTGACCGAGTTTAGTCAACGGCAGACACGCTATTGAGTAGTTTTGTACTTCATCTTTTCTTGTTTTGATTTCACATTCCGGTGCCAAAAACGGATTTTCATCATGAAGCATATATCTTTCTTCACTTTCTAAACTTATTTCACACATAAAGCATGCTACATCAGCTGCGCTAAAGTCAAAGTAGCCACGTATCATTTCACCTAAGCAAAGTAAAGTACGCTGAAAAGACAAACGTCCAACAGACCCTCGTGGAGTGGAAATCACAAAGTTAGCTGAAAATAAAGTATACAGTAAGAAGTATGGTGCATTCAATCACATGAAAAACCTGTATCAAATCGTGGTAAGACAGCAAGTAATAGGTAGCAAAAACAATAACTAACATGTCCAAGCGAAGTTTCTTTTCAACACTCTGACAACTGTTCACCATGCTACCTTGGATGTATCATGTTGTTAGCAAACAGATCAAACACACGAAACTGTCCATCTGACAACGATTATCCCTTACGTTTATAGGAGTAATTCTTCATATAGAATCCAGGTGCATAAAGTCAGGTTAAGCACAAGTGAAAAAGTTTTATCGCAAAAACATAATTTCCAGACACAAAATCAAACACAAAATGCAAAACAACTGTTGTAGTGTGGGTAATGAGCTTGAGACTGACTATATGTTTCTAATTCACTTCACTTGGTCCACAACATGATCACTTTACAAAGTGGGTAGCCCATAAAAAGGTGACATCGTCGTGCTGCATTCTTAGCAAAATGAAATTACTTCATTTGTTTTCTTTGAAACACTCAAGATAACCATTTCTAAATCTTAGTCCATCATATTAACATGAAGTGAAAAAAAATATTAGGATTTTAGATTCTTGAAAACATCACACTATCCTTATGGCTCACAGGTAGACACATATTCATAGAATATAACATGACGCACTTAAAAGCTACGCTTGAGATTGGAATATGAAAAACACATATGTACTCAACTGAATCCCTAAACATAGCACATACTATGTTTTAATCCTATCAGTCTAGTTGAATAGGCAACATAGTTCAAGTTAAGTGGAGGACTCGAAGACGGGCAGCATTGTGGTCGAATGTTTGCCACTTTTATTATGAAAAATTTCAAAACCGATATCTATGAGTACAAGGTCAAGTGTTAAAGACAATTAACATGACTCAAAGAATAAATACACTTACCAGGCGGTGAACATGCCAGCACGTTCATTAACTCCATACGTGAAGTAGCGTAAATAAATTCCTTTCTGGAGTCTTTAACAGAATGATCAGGGGAATCAGAGTTCTCACACTGAGGAACACTTTGAGATAAGGTTGAATACATCTGGCCAGCAGAATTAGTAGTGCGTGTAGTAGTCTTTTCAGATGAATGACTGCTACTGACTCCTGATTGTGAGTATGTAGAAAACCCTCCATCAAAGGCGAAATCGAAGTACGACTTTTTATCTTTTGCACGAGGAATCAAAAATGGATTTGAAAAGTCATACGCCTTATCTTCCTCTTCAATATCACATTCCTGAATTCTTAGACTATGATACATGATTGAAGAAGGCAGAATACGAAGACGTAATTGAATTAAATGTTCTTTGATTTCAGAGTTTACATTTTTCACCTGAACTGCAACAACCACCTTATAGGCAAATTTAAACAAGGTGCCACGAATACTAGGTGAAAGGTTGTATGGAAGATAAGCCAATAGATTTGCTGAGAATTACAACAAAAAGAGGGGATAAATATATATTATCAGTAGAAAGAAATTTTAGATCATCTATTTGAATAAAATGTGATATATACCGTAAGAGAATACTTTTCATAAGAATGGAATGGAACGGAGGATTCGATTTTACAAAATAAATACGTCCTTATAACATAAATTATCACTTAGACATGGGCGATAACAGCGATTAATCAATTCAGCTGAACACAGTGAACAGCAAGAGGTTACAAAATCTGTATAACACCTAATAACTGTCACATAAGAGGTGACTCTTGCAATTCAATAATTTAGTACATAACGCTTTAAACTGAGTACTGAAAAAGATGAACATTTTACCTAATGTTCTTACGTAATGTCGTGATCTCCTTTTTCGTCGCGAAAATCTCCAAACAAAAGTGAGATCTTGTAAGACCGTTTACCACCACGCTTCTACTCAACCTAATTCAGCTACTTATTGATTTTTTAAATGGCATATTATAATGAATAAGGTGAAACACTCGATACATCCAGAGAATTATTAATGTTTTCAGACCCCGGGTTTCTGAAACACTGAAGTAGTATATGCAACAGTCTAATAAACATTATAAAAGATCTAACAAACGTGATGTCAATGAATCTCATTCTTGTTTCACAGATACTTGTAATTTCCGGTTGCTAAACTGGATCGAGAGACACCAATTGTACTCCAGTGGCCTAGTGGATAACACTGGTATTTGAAGCGAAGGGTACTGGGTCCGAGTTCCACTGAGAAAAACATCGCTAGTGCAGGTACATCCGGCTAACGAGTTCCAAAAAAGATGTAACGCGCGTCCCGTATTCTACTGCTAGCTACTAAATAGACTACAATAGAACCTAGTTTTTTTCTATACAACAGGATAATAGGAAAAAAGAGTTGACAGCAAAAGGGTAACAGGTAAACCTATAATATCTCATTACTAATATAACGGCTTTTTTTCAAGGAAATACTTGCCCGTAATACCTAACTAAAACACGACTTTGTAAATATATATATATATATATATATATATATATATATATATATCAAATGTACTGTCCACTTCTACTTTTTATTGGATAAAATAATACAGTTTTGTCTTGGGATATTTATATCATAACTCTTCATAAGTCTGCAAATGTTTCACATTCACTTGACAACCTTTCTTTACTACAGTGATGAGTAATGATAACTTATTGTTCTGAGTGTAAATCAAAAAATCCAACCAGACAAAAGGATAAACAATAACACTATACATTATAAATATAAAGGAACTACAGTGATAAGTTAACAGATTTTTATAAACTTACCGGGTCCTATCAAGCGGGTATTTGGAGTATATTTTACATGCATTGGAATGACACATATCAGATGACTTTTAGGTTCCAATGCAGAAGTGATAAGTGATTCGGCATCAACTAAATAAAGCATAAAGAAATAATGAAAATATCAGTCAAGTACAAAACGCCAAGTTAAACATATATATATATATATATATATATATATATATATATATATATATATATATATATATATATATATATATATGAATACCGAGAAAGAGTATCACTTGTTCAGTACCTCATCATATACAGCTATAATTCTAGGGAGTTTTCTGGGAATGCTAACACAAATTATGTAAGAGTAACATAATAAAAAGGATTTAAGTCGGAAGGACACGGGTTTTATGAAATTGGTGTTTATTGAATAAATTGCTGGCAGACGCACATGGCCATAATGAGTTTTGACAATTTTTGAGATATGAAAAACAATGAACCCTCAAACCATGGAACCACACATGGTCACAATTTTCGCTACTACCTAATCATCACTACTCGCCGTTGTCGTATAATATATTGTACGCCTATAATACCAATCAGTGTAAGATGATGATCACCAGGCAGTCAAAAACATTTCTTCGCCCGAAACAAATCGGGTGTTTGTTAAATACACAATCCATGATGATAAATTTCACTACAGTTTCCCATAGGAACCAAAATATTTAGATCGCATAATGTTATCTGCTCAACATCACAACCGGCATCAAGATTGTGAGCACGAAGTTGCATGTGGTGCCAGAAGCAGGTTATATTATGTAGGCTGAATATTGTTTGCATAAAAAAATCCTCACCACGGATTGTGCACTTCGCAAACACTTGATTCCATTCTTGGTATGACAAGTTTGCTTAAGTGTCTGGAGGGAATAAGAGTGGTTTGAACAATTTGGTTCTCTGAGCTGAATCAATCTGGCTACATTCCAGATGATCCCAGGCCCGACCGAGAAAAACAAACTAAGGATAATGTGTGGATGTATCTGTGCCACTGACATCGATTATCAGTTATATCACTAAGAGTCTGCAACCAATGGTTTCTCTTGTCACGAAGACCCCAACCGATAAGTTTACATTTTCCCACATGACTCAGACCAAAAGCCAAACACTTATTCATGGATTCATGCCATATTTTGGTAAAGGTTCACGACCTCATCAATTGAATCTTTCCCCCTTAAACTTTATATCTCACTTTTACGATACTCAAGCGGTGATACCACAACACGGCATATACTACGAGGCCTACAATGGTCGAACACTTGAAACCTTCTCATATCCTCTACCTTTAAATACTTTGCTCCATAGCCATAAAGTAGAACAGAGGGAACAGTAGCCCAGTACACTCAACCCTTAATAAATAATCGCACGCCACAACGGCGTCATAGATGGCGTAAGTTGGCGAAAGCCAGGCAAGTCTTTCGTACACATGTAGAGATCTTGTCAATCACTGATTCACCACAGCTAATCCAACTTCACAAGTGAGTGAAGTGGCACTGTATTCAAACGATTCATTTCCTACTTTTAAGCAAGCCAAGATCAATCCTAGGACAACAATCTGCATTTTGAGGTGAGAAACGTACCCCAAACATTCTGAAATTTCTACCCTATCTCGTCAGCATGTTAACCTAACAGAACAACGTCATATGCGTAGTGTCTACAAAGGAGTGTCTTGTGACAAGATCAATCCCTGTAAAGTCAGACGAGGAGAAAAATACCTCTATAAGTACGTCTATGAAAACGTTGAATAGGGATGGAGAGAGCAGAAATCCTTCATGGGCCTCAATCATCACAGATTTTAACGCTACCGTGAGTTCTTGAAATGTTGACAGAAGAAAGCATAACGCTTCCGTGTGAACTTTAAAAAGGTTGGGAAGCTAATTATGAAATTGAATTCGGGACAGCTAATCAAATATTAGGCTAAGATTCGCTTCGACTGTATGTGGCTAAAAGTTCCATTCAGTCTTCCTGATGACTTCAGCTTGTGATCTAACAGTCTGGACTTTAGAATCTAGACCACTGAATAACAGTTTTGCAGTTGGATAGGCAAAATGATGTAAAATCTTACATAAAAATGCACCATTTCAAGTTTTCACACTTCACAACAGCCTGCAAAGAAGAAACATTGAAATAGGTGGGTGTATGAGATGAGAGGGACTGAGTCACAAATAAAGGAAGATACCAAACGATGAAATTAGATGACGCTTATAGCATACTGAGTCCACAAGTTGAAAAATGTGTACTATTCGACCCCATTCCACTGGCTGAAACGTAGTATGTTCACCATGAGAAGTGAAACTGCAGTGCTGGATTGAGTAGCTGTTGAGTACAGACTTTTGGGGAGTAGAAGACGAGGATAGAGAGACTGTTAATAACGATGCAAAACCAATCTTCAAATCAGTCACTTCTAAACAAGCCACTTGAATAACAGGATTAAATCAAAAATTACCAGTATTCTAATTTCAAAACTCTATTTTAACAAATATCAATTTTATGAACTCAGCACAAAATAGGAGATGGAATCCGAAAGAGAAAAATTTCAAAAGATAAAGACTGCCTGAACCTCGCCTGGTTAACTAGTTCACTAGTTACTAGCCGGTCTTAAGCCCGGGTAAACACAGAAGGTTGGGCATAGGGCTAGCTACCCTACACCGGAAAACAAATCTAACCACTAAAAAAACTTCAAAGCACAAACAAAATATAAAAAATGAAAACAAAATTATTCCTCGCTGGAATCGGAGAGGCGAAATGACGCCAGTTGGTGAAAGCCTGCCTTCGGGAAGCCAATTGGCCGATGCATCTTCTCTCTCTCGATGAAAGCGAAAGTAAACGTGTGGACATGGAATGTCCGCACCATGTTTGAACTCAGCAATGTTGCCCAGGTTGCAAAAGAGATGAAGAGGTATCACATCGAAGTGCTTGGAATTTGCGAAAGCAGATGGAATGGGAGTGGACTCTCCAAACTGTCAACTGGAGAATCAATAATCTACTCCGATATTGTCACCCAGACGACAACCACGAGCACACTGAGTTTTCGAGTGGCCATCATGATGTCCCCTAGAGCATGGAAGGCCCTTATGCAGTGGGAACTAATCTCCTCCTCCAGGATCATGACAGCAAGGTTCAACTCAAAAGGAAGGAAGGTCACAATCGTACAATGCTACTCTACGCACCTACAAATAATGCAGATAGAGAGAAGAAGGAGGAATTCTACAGACAACTTCAATCAACACTGGACAAGACCATACTGCAGTTGGCGATATCAAAATTCTAATGGGCGACATGAATGCCAAACTGGGAGGGGACAACACGGGAAGAGAACTAACCATGGGTCGAGAGGCGCTGGGTGAAATGAATGAGAATGGAGAATTGTTTGCAGAATTCTGTGCATTCAACGACTTGGTAATTCGAGGCAGTGTGTTCAAGCACAAAGATATCCACAAAGCGACATGGATTTCACCAGATGGACACACTAAAAATCAAATCGACTTCATCTCAATCTCAAGAAAATGGAGACGCAGTCTACTTGTCACAAGGTCAAGAAGAGGAGCAGATGTAGGTTCAGACCACTATCTAGTGCAAGGAACCTTCCAAATCAAGTTAAAAGCCTTCAAGGAAACTGGTGATAGACCTCAATTCAAGTACAACACCCAGAATAGAAACTGAAGGACGAAACTACAAAGGAGATCTTCACAGCAGTCATCAAGACGAATTGGGAGATATCGAGGAACATCCCTGAAGAAACCTTTGTGGATGAACACTGGAAGTCTTTGAAAGCTATGTGGAAAGAAACCTGCACAACAGTATTAGGAAGAAAGAAGGTGGAAGACAAGGAATGGATCTCGACGGATACCTGGAAGCTGATAGAGGAGAGGATGATGGTTAAACAGAAGATAAACCAGTGCAAGGACGCTCAACGACATGAGGAACTGAGCACAATGTATAAAACACTGAACAAAGAAGTAAAGAAGAGTGCACGCAAAGACAAAAGACACTTCTACGAAACACTGACAAGTGAAGCAGAACAGGCTGCAGGTAAGAGAGACCTGACGACATTGTATCAAATAACCAGGTTGCTATCAGGGAAGAGATCAACACAGATGAAACCAATAAAAGATGATGAAGGAAATTTAATTACAAAAGAAGAGAAACAAAGGAAACAATGGGCCGACCATTTCAAAAAGCTCTTGAATCGACCACCACCTGCACTTCGTCCAGAAATACCACCTACAGCTCAGCCACTGAACCACAAGTGAACATTAATCCTCCAACGAAAATGGAAGTCCTGAACGCCATAAAGCTACTGAAATGTGGGAAAGCAGTAGGACCAGATGGGATCCCGCCAGAAGCACTGAGAACAGATGCAGAGACAACAGCGGACATGCTCACACCACATCACTATTGCAGAAGGTGTGGAAGGAAGAGAAGGTACCTGACGATTGGAAGAAGGGTTACCTTGTCAAACTGCCGAAGAAAGGAGACCTCAGTGCTTGCAAGAACTGGCGAGGAATCATGCTCCACTCCTGTCCACCCAAAGCAAGCAAAATATTAAGCCGCATCATCCTGGAGAGGCTTAAAGATGCACTGGATTCAAAACTACCATCGGAACAGGCAGGCTTCAGGAAGTACAAATCATGTGCAGACCAAATTGCAACGCTACACTACGCATTATCATAGAACAGAGCATAGAATGGCAATCAGCTCTCTACCTCAACTTCATCGACTTTGAGAAGGCCTTTGACAGCGTCGACCGAGAAGTAATTTGGAAACTGCTTCAATACTACGGAATACCACATACCTTTATACGCCTCATTCAACAACTATATGAAGATGCCACATGCCGAGTAATTCAAAATGGGAAGCCCAGTGACACCTTTAACGTGAAGACAGGAGTGAAACAAGGTTGCCTTCTATCACCCATGATATTCCTGATTGTGGTGGACTAGATCATGCAGTAAACAGTGGGCAGCGAGAAGAGGGGGATACACTGGACTCTGGAAAAGAACCTAGAAGATTTGGATTTCGCCGATGATTTGTGCCTGATGTCGCATAAACTTGAAGATCTACAGGCAAAAACTTACAAGTTGATAGAGGAGGCAGCGAAGACGGGACTTCAAGTGAATATACAGAAGACAGAGGTGATGAAGATACCTCACCACCACCAACAACAACAAACTCCAATCACCGTCAACGGGAGAAACTTAAAGGAAGTAACCACCTTCACTTATCTAGGAAGCACTGTTTCAACTACAGGCGGGACGGACGAGGACGTCAAAGTCAGAATCGGAAAAGCAAGAAGGTGTTCACTAGCCTGAAACCAGTGTGGAGATCTTCTACACTCAGCATGCGGAGCAAGATACGGATTTTCAACACCAACGTCAAGTCAGTGCTCCTGTATGGTTCAGAGACTTGGCGCGTTACGAAAGGCATTTCCAATAAACTACAGACATTCATCAACAACTGCTTACACTGGCTCGCTACTGAAGATCAGATGGACTGACAGAAAGAATAAGCAACAAGGAACTCTGGGAACGAACCAACCAAGAACCTATCAGTCAACAAATATGCAGGAGGAAGTGGAGATGGATTGGCCATGCACTGAGAAGGCCGACTGAGGAAATCACGCGTCAGGCCAGTCACTCGAGTGGAATCCCCATGGGAAGCGACGAGTTGGACGTCCGAGGGTGACATGAAGGAGGTCGTGCGAGGAGGAAATGAGAGCTTCCGGGCTGTCGTGGAACCAGGTTCAAAAGATCTCAGAGAACAGAGTGTACTGGAGACGTGCTACTGAAGCCCTATGTTCCACTAGGAACCCAAGGGACTAATAATAATAATAATAATAATATCAGCCTGTAATACTGAAGCTCTATAATTAATGGTAACCTATCGAATTTTTAGTAAAAAAGATTTATATTTTAGCATACCATATAAAAATAAGCAGTGGGGGTAAACATTAATAAGATGACAATTTCCGTGGCTTCTATTGAAAACTTCATAATTTAATATTTTACTAACAGTATAAAGGAATAACAGCATGATTAGATGCACGTACAACTTAGTATATTATCATATTTCCACTGACAATTACTGAGTGACAGTGATTTCGGTGCTACTTGATATGAAGTTGTCAGTTGCCGATTATCCAATTTACACTGACCAACGATACATCCAACTATACCAGTAAATGACCTTCAGAAGAAAAAAAAAACAGAAAAGTTGAGGCTGATAGTGAGCAATATAAATTTTATATGTCGTATAAAATGAAGTTGTTATTTCTTCGGAAAGCAATTTAAATCATTTTCCTGATATAATACAAAAGAAAATGAGGTTAATTATTTGCCAATAAATTATTATTCACCAATGAAGTCACAAGCATGACACATTAAATGACCTAGTAAAATTCCTCTGAATTTGGGAAAAAGGCAAATAATTGGGACTACTCACTGAAATAGGAAGTGATTTATGTTCTCTGAGATTATTCAGTGACCAATGCCTTTATCCCAACCATATCTTTAACAATTGAGGAGATAAATACATAAAAATGTATGTAGCTCCAATGTAAATTGCACAAAATGACTAGTTTTTCGGTTGCATCAATTTTTTTCCGCATAAGTCGGTTGGAAAATTTACCAGATGAAAAACTTCATTTTGTTTAAAGCGAAACATACCGTTTTCTCGTATCGAAAAAACGGTTTAGAAAAACTCGATCCTAAGGACGGTACACTTCTCTTTGGCCTACTGTCTTTGGGTTGCCAAAAATACGGATTTTTCTGGTTGAGATGAAAAACTATTAATTCCAAGTCGAAAAGTCCGTAAAAGACTATATGACTAATCTGAAGCAGTTGTCCTTTTAATTATGTGGTCACGCACTCATGTTGTCAAAGCTAACCTTACTGATTTACTTTTTTCAGCTACCCAAAGAATCGCGTATGTATGACACCTAAACATTAAAACGAAAATTCCCAAAATTGACTCATTGAATAAGGCTTTTGACTTTCAACCAGAAGATTATGGGTACGAAAACCTATGTCCCCCCCCCATCTACCAATGTTTTGATAGGAAGGTAATACAAGAGTTCTAAAAACAAGTGAGGTAAATTAGATTTTGTCAAGGAATAAAGTTGTACTAATTGACGAGTCTCGAAAACACACTACTGTGTCGTAATTTTATTGGCTAGCAATCCACCAGAAATCATGTAACCCTAATTGAAAGGCAGTCATGTTCAACTACTTCATTCACTATTTTCAAACTAAGAATAAATGGACGTCAGCTCCGCAGCAACACTAATACTTAGGAGGATCAAAATGCTTATCGAAAAATCTCAGGTTCAAACATCAGATACCTAAAAAGATTAGGCACTTAACAATTACCTTGCTGAACGGACAATGCTGTCTACACACACGGTCAGTCAGATCTTCATTTACGATATAAATGCCTGAGAAGTTAGAATCACAGCCAAGTTCAGAAGAGCATACACGACAAATATGAATAAAAAGAGATGGAAGACCCTGAGCAAAAGTTACAGTTCACAGCCTCATAGACAACCTCAGGAGTTTGAGAGCACAGCTTTTTAAGTAGGATATACTTGCCCAGTACTCTTCTGTGAAAACTACCTGAATGAAGGAGTCCAAACCGATCTGCATGTCTAGTAATATAACCAGAATGAATCTATACATTTAAAGACATTCACATTTCATTGTCACAACTGTTTAATGCGCTTAATGATGCCACTAGGATATATGTACTTCATACAGTCCGCATTTGAACCCCTTGATTTACGATAACGTAATGTTTTCATATGAACAAAACTATTATTTTGAAAACGGTTGCTTTAATAACAAACAAGTAATAATTATATAACCAAATGCATCAGCTTTAGTTACCACAGCAGCATGGAAAAGCAAAAAGACACCAGAATAAACCGAAGAGAAACATCACTAGACAAAAAAACGTGTGTAAAGCTAGACGATTTTTAGGGTCAAACGAAATATAAAGTGAATGTATAAGCAATTGGTTGCAAACACGTTCACCAAGGATACTTCGCGAAAAAACAGTCACTACATCCAGGTGAATACTATGTGAACGTCTTTTGTAATCAACCTCTACAAAGCGTAGTTGTAGTGGTCATCATTCAGTTAGAAATGATAAAACTTTACAATATTTAAATAATTATCAAAGACTTCGATCGGTCGAAAACCCTTGTCAGTTGGTGTTAGCCTTCTTGTTAGAAAATAAGTACCACTTTAAACACATATGGATAAATGCAAGATATTTTATCTATTTTAGCGATATGGATGTATGAAGAAATCGGATTCTAGTCCTACATGTTAATAATAAGCATTGCGCTGGTTGAAAAAAGTAAACGAAACTATTTTACCTTACTGAAACAACGTATACCGATTCTGATGACCAGTTTACTCAGGTGACAAACCAGTGTCTCAGGATACGTACTGCATTTCATAATACACAGAAATCTCTCAATTCTAGTATGATAGACAGCTTATGTATTTCAAAAAAGCCATCCGAAATGTATCTACTATAGAAATGTTATATCCTCTATGTTAGTCAGAATGCAAGTAAGAATATCTATATGTAAAAAATCATAATACAATAATAACAGTTGGACAAATAAAAAAGGGTTTAACTGAGCTACTTAAAAAATACATTGTATTCGATCAAATTCCGTTTTAGATCCGATGGCCGTGGTCAAACTGAATGGATTCACAAGCACGCAGGAAGAAAATCACAACATATGTATGACAGTTCAAATACTATCCAGACGCTTCAGATCCAAGTAAGTGAAACAACAGATGGATTTTAATTTTATTATTAATAGGTACAAGGGGAGACAATAATTTGTACTCAGTGATAAATACAGTAATCTAAGTGCTCAACCACTGTTAGTAAATGAAATGTTTTAAATTTTATGGGAATACATTGGAAGTGATAGAGCGTAATTACTAACAATAAGTATACTGAAATGTCGTAGATTCACCAAGAAAGCCAAAATGTGAACGGATATATGAAGTATCGGAAAAGGGACATACCACTGATATTCTTGTTTGGAGACATTTTCGGGACTTGAACAAATGGCAATTTCACATTTGACGACATCTCCACCTGAATACAAGCTAGGGCCTAGAAGTTTGGCTACTAGATCCAGGTTTTGTTTGTCAGATGTTGACGACATTTATTCTCGCACAAAATCCTTGAATCAGAAAGATGATTCCACACAAATCAATACTATCTAATAAAAAGATTTAAGAAAATAGAAGAACTAATTGAATGATACTATGACTGGACACTTCATTTCTGACAGTATATACACCGCCATAACGTAAGATATTTGAAGTGAGCACAATATACTTTTGTACTTAAATCATATTCTACAACCTCTCATTATGCGACCACTGCCGACGATCAAAGCCATTGAAACCTCATTCCTAGTCTCCTCAGAACCCCATCCACCGTAAACTTCATGTTGGAGCTTTCAACGTCCGAACGCTATGCCAAGTCGGACATCAAGCACTGCTCCCCAGAACCCTGGAATCTTGAGCCATAGATGTGCGCTGTGTCTACGAGACATACAGAATCCAAGTGTGGTTATTAAATTGATCTAAACTAGCCATCTTCAAAATTCAACTTACGAGTAACCGGAGACCCAGTGGCTAGGTTTTGTGGACTTACTAGTGTACGCATAGCATTGAGTTGTAGGGTATAAAGTGAGCTCCTCGACTGGATTCCAGTAAACAGCCGTCTATGTGCTGTTCAACTGAATGGATCTGTAAGGACTAGGAATGATAGTGAGATTAGATGTTCCCTGTTCGCAATCTTGTTTGGACTCCGATCAGGCACTAGTATGGGTTCGTATATGTCGAGTGACTTCAAAAGCCACCCTAGCGACTGGTGAAACAACCAATCATGTTTCTCTACTGTATGAAAAATTGTCTTCCAAGAGAAAATACCGCAACCTGATTAGTTATTTTGGCAATTCCTAGGGTGGCTTTTAAAGTCGCCCTATATGTCTGCGCCTTATTGATCGCAGGTAACAGGTGATAGCAAAGCCCGTCTATGATCGATTAGAGAATGAGGACGCCAAACGTTTATTTATGGAGAAGTTAGCTAAGCATTTATCTGAATATAATAGCAGTGTTCATCCTGAGGAAACCTGGTATCATATTAAGTTCGTTGTAGAATCAGCGGTAAAGACAGTTGGTAACCTACACCCGAAGGTTAGCAAACGTCAGTGGATTTCTGCAACGTCACTAGAACTGACTGGTGCGAGAAGACTGATTCTAGCTGGCTTTGACCATGGGGACTGACAAAAAATCAACGTAGAACTTCGTACACAATTGCATCGACTCAAGTTGGCACACTTCATAGTAGTTTAAAAAGAACAAGTAGATAGGAAACATGATACCGGAGTAGACAAATTAGTGTGAGAGAATAAACAACCTGAAGATAGAGATTAGTGTGAATTAACCATCTTCCAAAGATGTCAAGTAGTGAATACATTTGCGACATTGTGGACTAAGATGAAAGCAACTCAAACATACGAAAACTGAAAATGAAACGTACTAAGCCGCCTTATGGAGACCCGTGCAGTAGGTATTGAGCCACACCTGATGTGTGAGGGATAGTGATACTATCCAGGTGTTCAAACCTCAGTAAGTGGAGCGGGCCTCGAACCCATAATTCGATGGTTGATAACCATCTCCCTTGACTACTGAGCTACAGCTCCGCTAAGTTAAACATAAACTTACCAAGAGTCTTCGCTTTAATCGCAAGCAGCGGTGGATAACGAAAGTGAGAGAGGTGGAAAAAGTATCAACTTTGGGTAACACTCGGACACTATTTAGGCTTATTACGGATACTGGCAAGGAGACGATGGCCAATGAAACCACCACCGAAAAGGAAGATACCTTGATAACCTCCCAAAAGGGATGGTTAGAAGATTGGGCAGAACACTGAAGCATATTTCAACTGGCTCCCAGAAACCCTTCAGTTGCCTAACATCCACACTGAACCTGAATGGAGTGTAAATATCGGTCCTCCAACTCTCCTTGAAGTTGATAAGGCCGTATCAAATCTGAAACATCTGGTTGATTTGGAATATACAAGCTTTATTGTCCTGCCAGGTGAAGAAACTGATAAAATGCGTTGAACAGAAATCTGAGAATGTTTGGCATGACTTTCTCTGGCACCTGTCAGATGTAAGATGATGGTCCAAGACTGGTATGCACCAATTACTCCCAGTTTAAGAAACGGGAGTGAAGTGGCGTGACGTGGCGACCACTTCATCTACTTGAGTACTTACATCAGCTTGAACGGGCTGGTTGCTGGCGAAATCTCAGCTTGGATACAGAAGGCCCACTTGGCACTTTCGTACTTGAGTTAACTGTGGTGTCGGCGAGATATCTGACTATGTATCAAAGGACGAGTATACTACGCCACTGCAGTCTGTTCTGTCCTGCTATACGGCTGTGAGACTTGTCTGTTAAAAGCAGAACACATAAAGCAGTTACAGGGTTTTGATCATAGGTGTCTTCGTAGCATTGCTCGTGTTTGGTGGAATCACCGTGTAAGCAATGTTGAGGTCAGGCAAAGGGTCCTATGGAAGATAGGTACGTCGACTGATGAGCTTGTGAAGCCTCGTCATCTGAGGTGGCTTCGATATGTGTTGCGCATGCTGAGTCACAGCTCACCTCGACGTGTTATCCCAGGGGAAGTTGGGTTAGGTTAGAAGAGTGTTCAGGGTGACCAGACGAAGATGTGGAACCAGTCAATGAAGTCCCTGACTGTTGCCCTGAACAGTGCGGAGGGATAGGAATAAGTGGTTGGGGTCCATAAGACGAAAAGAATTAGTGTTTAAGGAGTGTTGGTAATATGGTTGAAAATCGTCCACAATGGAACAGATGTTTTCACTCTTTGTCGTCTTCGCGCTAACCATTATCTTCAAACTACATATTTTCCCAAACAACTTTTCTATCTTGATATCACTGTTATTCGGTCCACTCATTTTTTGTATACTACTGTGGAGTGTGGCGAACTGAACAAATAGAGTTGTATGCGAGGTCCCAAGTTGATTCCGTCTATCTGACAAAAAGCGAGCCAAAAATCTGTGACGCGTGACGTTAGATGCATTTTCATTCCTCACCACAGAGGTATTTTGGTAGATTTAAACAGGCAATTAAAGAGAAATGAAAACTCTCTCTCATGAGTTAGAAATTGAATGAAAAGTGAGTGGACCTAATTCACCAAACATGAGCACGTTTGTGCACTAGACAATGAGCTATATCTATCATGAGGGCTAATGATACTACCTGTTTGTCAGGATGTCGTAGGGCGGAGTGGGTTCCGATAGCGTGACCCAGTGGTTGAAAATCGAACGTTTAGAACAATGAGTTACAGCTTCACCAAATTAGCTATTAGGGTTTAAATAAATTAAGAATGGGGTTTATAACCAAGAAACTGAATATAAACAGATGAGAATTGACGCAAGTACTGAAAAGAAGATCTAATTTCCAGCTTCTTGGCATTTTAAATCTTGATGATTTATAACTCACTTGAAACCAAACGTTGGGATTTAGTGAGATGGATTTAGCCTTATGGTTCAACACTGGAGTGAAGAGTGGAACTATAGAATGTCACCACCCCAAAACGACTGTCCATTTACCTTGGAGTGACCAATCACGTTGAAGGTGAGTGTGTGGTTATTATGGGGAGCCTGGAATTGTTGGGAGAATATCGCTGGCTAAAAACATGCATATGCAGCATTTTGATGGTGACGATGTCGACTCAATCGAAAGGAATTACTTCCCATACGATCGCCTTGCACTATTAGCTAATTCAGAAGGATTCCCTTTAAGTTTGCCTTCTTGAAAAAGAAAAAATGGACAGGAAGCTCATACTGCATTATTCTCTGGCATTAGGTTTCAAACCCTAAACCCTACTACTGAATTTCAAGTTCGCAATAGTCATTAAGTTGTAAAGCAGTAAACAAACAGTAAGCGGGTCATCTTTTCGAAGCAAGTACTGTTTGTTTTCCAATTTACAAATTATTTTCAGGTTCTGAACTTTGAAATCTATAGGTCAACACTCAGTATCCAACTTTATGACCCCAACACTAATTATCAAATTTCATGACGTAAATCCTCCTAAACAGTCTCATACGAATAATGCAGGTGCAACGTAGAACAATTTAAACGATCATTTACAGTCACGTAACAGTTCATGTAGCTGGATGTTAGAGTCAAATTTACAAATATTCATCGTACGTAATTATGCTTTAGACAGTTAGAAGCGCTAGAAATCTTATAAAAGTTGCTAAACATCGTCAAAAATTCACGTCGACTTCAATTTTAAAGTAAAAATTAAATCGAAATTGTATTTCTATAGATGCACCCAAAGCCACTTAAAATTCGTTCAAGGAGGGCAAAGTTTTGCAACTTCACCAAGTGAAAATTATTCCAGTTTCGATTTCTTGGACAAGTAAATATTTATTGACTTAGAAGTACGATGAATGGCTCAGTCACTTGACAAGTCACAGTTTTCGAATCTATCAGTTTTATCGTAGGACATAATAACGCATTGAGAAACATGGAGCTAGAAACAACCACTAGGAACAGTATTTCCGTGTTAACACTTTAGGTTACATAACTTTTGGAATTGAATATTCTCAGTTTCAAGAGATAGTGTAAAGAAACTTGTTTCGGAAAATTTTCATAGACAGTGCTGTTGAACAGCTGTTCGTAGACCTCCTTCTGCTTTACAGAACAAAGTAAGAAAGAGAACTCTCTTTTGGGTGAAAATCAGAAAAAAACTCCCATAATTATTACCCTCACTTCAGTCAGTTGGCACTTTGGATACTTCCCAGAAAAATTTAACGAGCAATACCTAACCCTTGGGCACACCTCTAAATCTGCATATTTTATTCTTTGTCTTCCAGTTTGTAAAAAGCTGCTGCGCTGTTGCAGATTAACTAGTCTACGGTTTTGTATTGATGGAAAGAAATCAATCAGTTACTAGTCATTGGATCTTTTTGAAAACTTAGAATGGACTATAAGCATTTTGACGATTTCGGGATTTCAGGAAAGCTTAGGAGGGACTTTGAAACTACTGTCTTCTGGGGAAAGGTAGATGCATTTTACTGAGTGGATTCAAAATTTGTTGGCAGGAAATCACCCAGAA